AATTATTGCATGGTGAAATTTGAGGAAGAAAATTTGTTTAACTTTTTGTTGTAAAATTTTAAAAATAACAAAAAGATTATTACTCATGTTTAGGATTAATTTTTATTGAGAAAAAGTTTTTCACAATTCACCCCCCCTCTTGTCATTTAGTAATTTCAGTTGGTATCAGAGCAATTTCAGATACGAGCATCCTAGACTAATTGGTTGGCATGTTTGATATGACAATTAACATTGGACTCCCTAAGGATAGTGTTGGCAGAGGTTTAATTATAATATGGATTAAAAGCTAAGATTTGTATTTTATCTCCAGTGGTTGAAAGGTGAAGGAATTCTTGAAAATCTTGGTAGGTTATTTCTAAAAGCCTTCTATTAACATACGATTGTAAGGCAATAAATTCATTATTAAGATGAAGGATTGTAAAGAATTCAAATGGGGGTTAAGAGTTTAATTAAAGGCTAGTGTGAGAAGAAAACCAAGAGTTGTCCGAGAAAATAGATTGAGTACCTAAAATTTAGAACATTTTGGTTGACAATCATGGAGGGGGTTATGCCAATAATTTTATAACAATTATAGGCTGCTTCATTAGCTACCTTAGTTAATCAAAGATTGATAGCATGCCTAGCAGAGCTACCTACAAGTACTCGAGACCTTTTTTCACCCGCCATTACAAGAATAAGAGTGTATGTGGGAAGAAAGGGTCTAGACGAGTTAAAAGGTTTGAAGAAGGTGAAGAACCAACTACTATTTATATAGGAATTAACATATTATATAGTATGATTGTGAAATCATACTAGATGATATAGTGCAATAAATTCATCCAGACGATTAGTTAAAAAAGAGGTTAGATCATATAATATGATTAGACATTATACTTGAAGATTAAATACAAGGCTATCGTTTCGAGGAGTCAGCTCATACGATCATTAATTGGCTTGAACATACAGGATGACTATGTGAATCATACATAATAACTTTTCTTTAAGAATCATACCAACTATATTCAAATCATTGAATGGCTTCTACCATGTGGATCGTATTGTATGTAGTATGAATCTTACCGGACAACCACAAAAAATTAATAGATATCAACTGTTGGATGTGTTGTGATTAGAGAAGTGATGTTTTATTAAGATTGTATAATATGATATGAATCATAATGAATGATGCGAACAAATTTTGAAGAACATAGAGAATGGAATGTGATGATCAAAAAGGGTTCAAAATAAAAACCAAGTAAAAATAATAGAAAATAGATAAAAAAATGACAAAAATAATGATAAGATAAAATCAAAGTTTTTTTTTTTTGAATTGATTTACTCCATTAAATGATAATTTTACCTCATTAATCAATTTAGAAACTAGTAAGAACTGAATTGATAATGCTAAAATAAGAAATTTTAGAAAAATTAATATTCTTAACTGTAGCTCGTCTCCTTACAGGTCAAAATCCTTTTTAAACAAAATTATAATTTAGAAAAAAAATTAGATAGGAAAAGTGATATTTTTAAACTTCATTTCAGAAAAATATTTGGTAGAATATATTGCAAAGTAATTAATCAGAAATCAAGATTTTTAAATTCAAGTGTAGAAGATATCAATATGTTCATAGAGTCTTCCAAGAGTTTAAAGATTTGAAAAAAAAAGAAACTAACTTATATTGGGTTCATTTTGCACCTCTTTTATCATCTTTTGGTGCACATTACATTTCTTTTGATTTTTTTATGCACATTATGTATAATGCAATTTTTTGGCGGTCATTGCACATCTTTTTAATTTTAGGCTCATTTTATGCCTCTTTTCATTTTTACATGCTTGCTTCCTTTTTAAATCTATAAAAAATTATCAGTTTTGAGGTAATCTTCTAAATATAAGAGAAGACAAACTC